AGAAACGGTGATGATAGCAGTAATCAAAGTGATGTGGTCATCTTACAGTCAACTGGAATGCCCCTTCCTCTCCCTGATGGAAACCTTCAAGTCTCAAGTCAAACAGTACTTTGATGAAACCTGCTTTGTATGACATACACCAAGGCTTGGAATGTTTTCTATACTTAATCGCATTTCCTTTTCACAACAAGTATTGGGACATGGAGTAATTTTAATATCTTTCTCTAGGTCATAAGGCTAAAAATTAATAGGGGAGGAACCAGAATAAAAGTGTTGTTTTGTTTCAAGTGTCTTTTATTTTTATTAAAAATTTAATAAATGTGCATAAAATTAATTAAGTACAAAATAATATACAATCAAAATATCTCCCTCTCAGGGTTGACCTCTGTTCTTCCTCACTTTCCTTGCCCAAAGACAACAACTATTATCAATTCTTTGTGTATCTTTTGAGAAATTTACTCTTTACATATTTTATATGTAGGTTTATAATATTTCTATTAAATAGATGTAATTTGTGTAATGTGTATACAATCTCCTTCACCCTGCTTTTTTTCAAATAAAAATTTATCTTGGAGTTTATCCCACATTAATATATTCACAGTTACATAGTATTGCAATGGAAAACCTACAATTTTTAATCAGTTGCCTATTGATGGAATTAAGACAATTTTTACAATATTTTACTGTTAAAAATTGTACTATAATAAGAACAGTATAACCTTTCCTGTGTCTAAAATTGTATGACTCTTAAAGCCTGAATCACTAGCTCTATCCTGTACTGCTCTCTAGGCTTCTCAAAAGCCAGTAGCCTCAAGTCACTTGATCAACCTTTGGACAAGGGTTTATACCTTCTGCTTGTACAACTTCCTTAACAATGACCAGCCTACTATTAACAAAAAGACAAAAAGATCCTGTAATAAAGGAAGTCTATTTAATTGAGCCCTTTCTTTCAGCAGTTTTCTATTTCTTCCATCCTGGATTTTGTGTATAGCAACTACTTAGTCTTAAGTTCTTAATTGTTTATTTGTTCAATGCCTGACTTCCCCCATTTGAATGTAAACTTTACGAGCACAGGGACTTTGTTTTGTTCATTCCTCTCTCTAAGGGTTTATAACAATGCTTGTCATGTAGTAATTAGTCAATAGTTGTTTTGAACAATTACTGGCTCTTGGGAAAGTTATTATAACATTATATTCATGATATAGTAATATATATGCTGTAATAGAGTACATTAACATCCTTGTTAATATATCCCACCCCATCATACCAACCCTGTAAAATAAGCATATTATCTTTGTCTAAGCAATATGGAAATGAAAACTCAGAAAGTTTAATAAAATTGCTAGGCATCACAAACCAGAGAGTTCTAGTGCTGGGGTTCACTTAGGTCACTCAGAATCCAAAACGTTTGTGCTTTTCTCTACACAATCCTACATTCCTAGAGTACGGTTTTCCTTTCTTGAATTTCATCCAATTGCATCTGACGTTCTTTAGGGTCCCAAAGGACAGTGGAGTCAAGAAAGGTCAGTACCCTTGAGGAAGGGAAGGAAGAGGAGCTAAGGTGAGCCCAGAAACACCTGGGGGAAAATACAGATGCCAGCCCTTCACCTGGCCCTGAGGACAAAAGAGGCATAGCTGGGAATAGATCTCCTAAGTCAGGACTGGGAGCATGGCCAACCCATATAGTCTGCTCACTCACGCCTGACACAGAGAAGGCAGCAGTGACCTGGATTCAGGTCCAACTGCAACTGCACCTCAGATGGAACTCAAATCCACAATCTTAGGGCCGAAACATCACAACTCATCTCAGGACTTAATGAAGCTCAGGTTCTTTATGTCTTGGCACAGAAGGAATTCAGCAAGAGGCAAAGTGATAGGTAAGAAGTAGATTTATGCTTGTGGCAGGCAAGAGGGCTCTGCCCCCAGAACTAAGTGGACTACATTTTTATAATCAAAGGAAAAGTGGGGAGGGAGAGAAGACCACTTTCTTCCTCTTCCTTTGTAAAGATGTTTCAGGAAAATAGGGCACAAGAGGATGGTCATGTCCCAGGTCTCAGGCAAGTTCCTGGGATATGCCACCAAGTGAGGGTCCTTGGCTTCATGTAGGAAAGAATTCAAGAGTGATCCATAGTAAAGTGAAAGCAGGTGTATTGCGAGAGATACACATTCCATAGGCAGAATGAGGTCCAACTCAGAAGGCGAGAACGGTCCTGAAATATGGGGTGACTAGCTTTTGTGGCCTGAGTAATTTCATAGGCTAACAAGTGGGAAGATTATTCCAACTATTTTGGAAAAGGAGCAGAGAATTCCAGGAGTTGGGTCATCACCCACTTTTTGGCATTTTACTGTCGGCCTCAGAACTGTCATAGTGCCTGTGGGGTGTCATTTAGCATATGCTAATGTAGTACAGTGAACACATTGTAATACAGTACGGCTCAAGGTCCACTGGAAGTCGCATCTTCTGCCACCTCGGGCCTGGTTGGTTCTAACCAGTTTTTGTCATAACCGATTTTTCTCAATGGCTGTGTTATTCTTTAAGGATTGTGCCCTGTTTCATTCCCTCCTGTCTCACAGCTGTTAATTGTTCATCCAGGGCAGGAAGTAAGACCTCCCTGATTCCTCTTCTGATCCTTCTGACAGCCGAACCAGAGTTCCTCAAACACTCAGGGGCGTGCATGAAGCATAGGTGTCAGGCAGAGCTGAACAAGGCAGATCTCCCTATTGGGCACAGGTAAGGCTCTTACCAAGGGATGAATCAACCAGGGGCCCCTCTCCAGATTCGGTTGCTCAACTAGACAAGGTTTGGCAGGGTTTGTCATGACACCTAATTCTATTCCTATGTCCACACTGGAAAGATCTTATCATTTTTCACCTTCCTGTGCCTCAGTTTCCACTTTCTGTGTCATAAGATAAGTGAGATCTGAGACCACAAGAAGACTGAGATTACCCAGGTTATTTTCCAGTTCTGACTCAGAAGCATTCTGGCTCAGAAAAATTCCAGTCTCTGCAGTTTTGACAGAACGTATACCTCCTGAAGTCTTGACTATCCTCTAATTAACTCAGGGAAGACTTGCCTCACTGGAACATGCACAAGGTAGATCACATCAAGTACGCTATTTCTTTAGGACAATTCTATGGGTGCAGAAAGCCTAGAAGAGAGGGTTCCTCCTCCTGGGGCAGCTAATGATTAGCAGAAGAATGTTATTCTGGAAGTTCTGGAGGGACTAGCAGGGAGCCTGAAATGTCTTTTGATTGTGTATGTGGTTTTGCTTTTTTGTTTTTATTTGTTTCCTGCCTGAATGCTTAAAGGAAATTTTCCCTATCCTAAACATTTTTTTAAATAGCACAAAGATCAAGACATATATTTCCATTATTTTCTGTGTGTGTGTGTATTAAGGAATGCTTTCAGTTAAAAAAAAAAGTTAGCTCAGTGATTTTTATTTTTTATAATATTTTCACAATTTCAATTTTATATTTTCATAATAATGTACACCCTAGATGTTCTGCACATCTTTAGCCAACTTCATTTTCATCCCTGTTGCTTAGAAAGCCATCAGAGAATTTATTAGGTGTCCCTACTCCTTATACATTCACCCCAACAAGATACTGTATACTTACTGTATCAAGACCTTCATTGTGATTTAATATAATTGATTATTTAAATATCTCCTCCATTAGATTCTAAGCTTCAGGGAGAAATCAATCATCACATTGCCAGTACCTCAACAGAAGTGGAATAAATATTGAATTTTTTCATAGCGTTTAAGATTCCAGCTCTTATTTAATATAGTCCAGGTTAATTGTTTATTCATGAGTATTTCAAATATTCACTCTAATGTTCTTATTTTTCACGGAATTTTTGTGGGAATATGTTTCTTTTTACCAATTTGTCTACTTTAGAAAGAGAAGTAGTTGGAATCTCCTGGGACACACTCACTATCTACTTAGTTGTGCTACAGTACTCCTCTCAGATCTTAATTTTGAAAGCCAGTGGATATTCTGGGTCCTGATAATGAAATGTCAATTACAGCTTTGCTGGACTGAGGAGAAAGATCCTAAGGCTGTTACTTCATAATCTGATTAGGAAGAAGGGATAGGCATTATATGATATAAAATACTATACAGCTCTTACATTGAAAGGAGGGAAAAAAGTGTATTAAAACTACTACATTCTATAGACATTCTTCCTATGCACCTCCTTGCCACTTTTTCTCCTATTTGAGTCGCCTCAAAACAAAACATGAAAAAACACGACTTTTTCTACTATATACACTCTCAAGTTATTTTAGGATTGAAGTCTTTAAATGTATACAAAAAAGGTAAGTACAGCTTTGGGCAGTAGATGGAGAAGATAAACACCATGAATCTTTGAAGAAGGGGGATATATAATAGGTATACATGGAAAATTTATACTGTTTTCCATCTAACTCCACTCCATTTCCTCAGGACACCTTTCATTTAACCCTGCTAAAAAGGTATTAAGTGTGCAGCAGAAAATGGGTGTGTGTGAATGATCCGAGTTGTTTTAGCAAATACGGTAACGAAGTGGAAAATGGATCACAAAGAATAAGAGTGGGGAACAATAAGCCATTTCCCATTTCAGAGCTCAGGCTCTGGCCTTTCTTCCTTGTGGTTTTTTTTTTGTGTGTTTTTTTTTGGGGGGGTTACGCGGGCCTCTCACTGTTGTGGCCTCTCCCGTTGCGGAGCACAGGCTCCGGACGCGCAGGCTCAGCGGCCATGGCTCACGGGCCCAGCCGCTCTGCGGCATGTGGGATCCTCCCGGACTGGGGCACGAACCCGTGTCCTCTGCATCGGCAGGCGGACTCTCAACCACTGCGCCACCAGGGAAGCCCCCTTGTGTCTTTATTCTTAGACAACACAAGGCCCTTTCTCTTGCAACTGAAATCCTGATCTTGCCTCTTTCCCTGACACTAAGAAGGAGTCTGAAACAGAAATCCAGAATCTGACTCTTCCAATCGAGAATGTCTCTCTATGACCACAGCTCGGAATTCATTCCTATATCAATGGCTGAAGGAAACTGGACAAGAGTTAGTGAGTTTAACCTCATGAGTTTCTCTTCCCTACCTAGTGAAATACAGTCATTACTCTTCCTGATATTTTTAATCATCTACCTGGTCACCCTGCTGGGAAACAGCCTCATCATTCTGGTTACCTTGGCTGACCCCATGCTGCACAGCCCCATGTACTTCTTCCTCAGGAACTTGTCTTTCATAGAGATTGGCTTCAACCTAGTCATTGTGCCCAAGATGCTGGGGACCCTGATTGCCCAGGACACAACCACCTCCTTTCTTGGCTGTGCCACTCAGATGTATTTCTTCTTCTCCTTTGGGGTTTCTGAATGTTTCCTTCTGGCCACAATGGCATATGACCGCTATGTAGCCATCTGCAATCCCTTGCACTACCCAGTCATCATGAACCCTTGGACATGGGCAAAACTGGCTGTTGCCTCCTGGTTTCCAGGCATTCCCATGGCTACTGTGCAGACCACGTGGCTCTTCAGCTTTCCATTCTGTGGCACCAACAAGGTGAACCACTTCTTCTGTGACAGCCCACCTGTGCTGAGGCTGGTCTGTGCGGACACGGCACTGTTTGAGATCTACGCCATTGTTGGAACCATTCTCGTCGTCATGATACCCTGCTTGCTGATCCTATGTTCCTACACTTGCATCATTGCTGCCATCCTCAAGATTCCATCAGCTAAAGGGAAACACAAAGCCTTCTCTACCTGCTCCTCCCACCTCCTTGTTGTCTCCCTTTTCTATGTATCTTTAAGCCTCATCTATTTCCGCCCTAAGTCCAATAATTCTCCTGAGAGCAAGAAGGTGCTATCACTGTCCTATACTGTTATGACTCCCATTTTGAACCCCATAATTTACAGCCTGAGAAATAACGAGGTGAAGAATGCCCTTGGCCGGACCTTCTACAAGGCCCTAGGCCTTAGAGACTGCTTCCCATAGACATTAAGAAAAAGACTAAAGTCTTTCGAATAGGGAACAATCAGTTTGATATTTAGAATTCCTCTGCCTCTGCCTATCTCCATTGTGATGAAACCCAGCTGCTGAAATGACTATTGGAAAGCTCAGTGAAAACAGCACAGAGGTAGTTTAGACCTGTCACTACCACCTGGAAACCTCCTCTGCCTGCCCATTATGGACTTACATTATTTTTCTTATCATCATTTTAACACTTCTGTGGCCAAGTAATTCCAGATATTCACATTCCTGTGTGCACACTGTGAACAGTATGAAACTGCTTATAATCCTAACATGGGAACACACATAATAAAAGAGGGCACAACCCATCAAAAATCACCTTGTGACTTTGTCTTCCTTTGGGCAAATCTGACTGCATTCATCAGGTGGGAAACCCTATGAGTCCTCCCAATGCATAACTCTCCTCACTGCCTTATTTTAGTTCTCATGTCCTTGAGGGAGTGTTAGTTCTTTCAAGCTCACTCATATGTATTGTATGGATATAGGAAAGTGGGTCAATAATTCCCATACCTGTACCTTTATAAGTCCAACAATGATTTATTCCTCATTCTATTTATCCCAGGAAGAATGACCTGAGCTTCCACAGGCTCTCTCTCTAGATTTGGGGTTTCAGTGGTTACTTGTTTAATGATCATTCTTAATCATTAACTTAGGTTCTTACACCTTGTTGAAGTAATATCATATATTTCAATCATGATGCTGCTTTCATTAAGGATTAAAATGGATCCAGCTAACTCCAGCATAGCTCTTCTTTAACCACAAAAAGATTCCTCATTCTTTTTATAACTTCATAGTACTCTGCTTTGTAGATACACCATAGTTTATTTAATGAGTCTTTTACAATGAAAAGAAAAGCTTTATGCATGTGCCTTTTTATGCTTTTGCCAGTGTATCTGACATATGGAAATCTAGAAATTGGATTTATTGGGCCAAGGGTACATACATATATAGTGTTGCTATATTGGCACATTTCCCTCCAAATTGATTGTACCATTTTATACTCTCAACAGCAATTTATGAGAGTTCTTGTTTCCTCACAGCCACATCAATAATATTTGTCATCAATCATTTGCAATTTTGCTTATATAATAGGTAAAGAAACATAATCAAATTTTAATTTGAATGAATAAATTTTGAAGAATACAGAGGGAATACGTGAGTAAATCAGAGAAGAGTCATGCATTTCATTTAGACTTCTGAGTTCATAGGTTAGATGATTAGCAGTTGGTGATGTCTTGGTACTCTATTTTCTCTACTCAAAAGGTTCTTTTGACCTTCATTTTAGCCAAATCCATCTCATCTTTCATGGTCTACTGCAATTCCTCAGGCAGCATAAATTGCTCATCCTACATGCATCTATTCTAAGTTTGTCAATGCCCAAGTTAACTTTTGTGTCTACTATCCTGTACTTATTTTTACATGTTTGTCTTCCCCCAATGTACCTGTAACTCTTTGAAAATGAATACTGCACAAATGTTTCTGTTTTACTATAGGCACAAATGTTTCTGTTTTACTATAGGCAT